CCAGTGCATCATTCTCGCACTAAGCACATTGATGTCAAGCATCACTTCATCAGAGATCATGTGGAAAAGAAAGATATCAAAATTGAGTATATCTCAACTGAAGAACAACTGGCGGATATCTTCACCAAACCACTAAGTGAAGCCAAGTTTTCCGATTTGCTTCACAAAATTGGTCTAATTCAATTAGACTGAGTGTGGTACACATGGCAGTTCATTTTCCACGTCTGTCAAAATGGTGGGTGGGGACGTGGCCTTGGGAACAGTTAAAAACCCAATCGCCACTAGCCGCATAAATCGCCCACATTAAACCCAATCGTCACTATAATCAGACCTCAACTGCCCACTCAGCCCACTCCAATTTTTCATCATCTTCTTCACGAGAATCTTCTGATAAAATTCTCAAGAACCCTAATTTCTTAAGATCTTCTCACTCAAATTTCTGAGAAAATGATGATTGTTGGCGCTAATATCCATTTCCAGAAGTTGGAAGCCAAGTGCTCCTCATCAACGTTCTATCAATCCTATCTGGAGATGATTGCTGCTCAAGAGCTCTCCGAATTCCTTCATATGGAGATTCGATTCAAGTATGAGAACGAAGTTCTTGATTTCTACAAGAATGGAAAGGTCAAGACTGTCAAATCGAAGAAGGACCCACAAAGGACGATTCAAGTCATCAATTCCACTTTTGGAGGGACAAAAGTGAAGCTTTCGCAGAAGAAATTGGGAGAAAAGCTTCACCTTCCCAATTCTGGAATTGAAATTGGGAGACTTCCAGCCAAGAATCTGGATTGGAACATTATTGGAATTTCTGGGCAAAATCTCTCTGGCCCAGCGAAGAAAACTCATCTGAACAACGACTACAAGCTAGTCCTTGAACTGGTCATCGCATGCCGCAAATGTGGAAGTGGAGGACATGCTGATGACATCACCTAAGAGAGGGCCTTCATCATCAATGCCCTCATTACCAAGTCTAAGGTAAATTGGGCTCCTCATTTCTTCAATTCCATCTCAAAGCATCTGGGAAAACCCAACCAGAAATACCTTTGTCAGGGTCTGTACATTGGACATATCTTGGAGTCCTTGGGTGCTGCTTCTTAGGGGTGAGCATAGGTTCGGTTCGGTCGGTTTCGGGTCAAAACCGAACTAATCGAAACTTTTTTGGGTATAAAAAAACCGACCGAAACCGAACCGGTAAATTTGAATAACCGACAAACCGAAACTGATTAAACCGAATTGGGTTCGGTCGGTTATTAAAAACCGAATTGCACAGCACCCAAAACAAAAAATTATAA